TAAACAGTCTTGAACCCTAAGCCTTAAACCAAAATCAAAGCCAAAACTTCAGGGACAAACCCAGTCTCCGCCTGTGAATTTCCTACTGTCCAGCAGAGGGCAGCATTATCTAGTGATAGAGGAAAAAACGCTTCCCTCAGAGGTTTCTGGGGTGCGGGTTGTGGTAGACCTAGGACTGAAGGTGAACCATACAAAATAGTTAAATTACAAACCATGTGGCATTTTCTTTTTTCTGTGTACCATTTGTAAAGAAAGAAGTTAGAAAGTCTGACTGTAAAGATTAAACTCACAAGCAGAATGGAGGTTGGGGCCCCCAGTTTTTTCCTTTTCCAATTTTTGTGCTTTCCTTGCTTTCTGGTCAACTCCCCAGGAGCCTGCTTCAGATGGACATAAAGGAGACCCTCCCCTAGGGATTGGGTTCCTTCTCCTCTTCCCTCAAGGGAATCTGGACCTTTTTGCCCAAAACTGAAGCCCAATTCCGTTTTTTCTCAGCCTCTGGCCCTGGCTATAAGTTACCCATTTCCACCCAGGGTCCCCTAAGCCAGTGTTTCTCAACCTTTTTTATCTCACGGCACACTTGAACCTACAGTTAAACTTCCGTGAAATTATGTCGGTCAAAAAAACAATGTACTTACTGTGCTTTAAACTTCTTTTTAAAATAACTTAATCTTTAAAAATGTTTGTTGCACACCTAAGATCCTCTCACAGCACACCAGTGTGCTGCGGTGCACTGTTTGAAAACCACTGTGATAGGCAGAGCTCGAGGGGATAGCAGGTATCGTCCCTGCACCTGGGAAGCTGCCCCACCTGCTGCTGCCCCAGGAAATGAATCTACAGGAGGAACTTCCCTCTGGCAGCTGAGACAGATCCCATCCCAGAAAGCTGGTGTTAGGAGTGAGGTTGGTTTTATTCCCTGGGATAGGGGAGGCAGGACGGCGCGGAGAAAACCCTGCCTTGCCACTTGATGGTATTAAAATACAAGGAGATTCATAGGTAAAGAGCTCGCTGTGCTCCATGGATGGGCTGGAGGTCAAGTCTAGACTCAAAGGATGGGCAGAGAGGGGAATGGCCAGCCAGATCTGTGTACGGGCAGTGGTGGCAAGGGGGCCAGCCAGCCATACCAGGGCGTGAATTGGCAAGGCTGCTGGAGATGCCTTGGGAGTCTGGGGAACAGCTTTTTTACCTTAGGAAGCAGAGAAGGTTAAGGGCAGACAGTGATTTTTTGTGTCTTGGAACGGCTACAACTTCCTCCCCCCAGATGCCCACCAACCCTCAAGGCATTCTAGAGATTTCATCCCTCCCAAAGTGAGAACTCAAGGCCAGCATCAGTAGATCCTGGGATTTGGGCAAAGTTTTGCACACTCAAGCTTCTGGAGAACCTTGTGTGATTTGATCTTGCTGAGTCCTATGTGAACCAAAAGGCCAAACTTTCGCAAGCAGAGGACCTAATGGTCTGTGGAAAGGGCGGATCACCTTCCGTCTTCCCCATGAGTGTTGAGTGTTTCCATCCAGACTCACCCTGCTGGTCTCTCCATGTGGCTTGTCTGCTTTTGACAGGTTCTACTTCCAAAGTACCCTTTTCAACTGTCATTCCCAGGATTAAAGTCTTTCAATGGTTCTCCATTGTCCTGGGATGACGTTTATTCCCACTAGTTTGGATTCACACTCTGTCCTCCATTCACATGTCCTGTCCAAATGGCCTCCCCAGGAAGCTCCCAACTCCTTTGTACCATTGCTAATGCCTTCTCTGATTTTCCAAATCCTACCCCTCTCTTAATACCCAGTGCCATCAGGCGATGCCACAGACGGTATTGGGCCTTAATGTGTATGAACACTGATCATTCTCAGGGAAAGCAAACACAAACCCATCAATATTGAGGCCACTCTGTTCACCCAGATGTTTATAAATAGTCTATTGTTTGAATTTTCCAAGTCATTTTCATGTTATAATTTAATCTTAAGTTTTCTTGGTCTAAAGTTTTACATATCTTTTTGAACCACTGTTTTAACATTCTTAAAAGAATAAAGGAAGGGGGAGGCGCCTGTAGCTCAAAAGATTAGGGCGCCGGCCCCATATGCCAGAGGTGGCAGGTTCAAACCCAGCCCTGGCCAAAAACTGCAAAAAAAAAAAAAAAAAAAAAAAAGAATAAAGGAAGGATTTATAGGATAGTACTAGTAAGAAAGGACTGAATTTATTATCAGACTCTTGTGATTTGAATGAAAGAAAT